TAACTACTGTATAATACTAAAATTTGATTTATTATCTACAATTTGATACCAAACTTATTGACATAAATTCATAAAATAGGAGTTCAATACAGTTTTTAATGCAAGTTAACAAGTGCGATGACATGGCCTGTGACCTGTGTCAACAGGGTTAACATTCAACCACAAATAATCACTTCAGTTGCTGTCTTAAAAAAGTTATTGGTGTCATGGGCAGTAGACTGGTGACATTTTATAACCTTGTTTTGAAGACAGTGGTACACACATAATGTGTTTCATCTTCCTTGACCAACTGGTTGATGTACAAACCATTTATGTTATAGTGACCCCATGACCTTCTCATTGCAGATTTAGATATAGTGATATGAGGTGCCACTTCATTTGTTCTTCATCCAGCATCTTAAATAACTTGCAGTCTATCTTTATATCAATCAAAAACCTATATTATAAACATTGTTACCCAGTTTTATGGAAACAGTAACCAGAATTAATCACTAAATCAGTATTTGATTAAATGTAAAGGTGGAGAGAAGTACTCTTTCTAGCCAGAACAGCGGGACAATTTGTAAAATCTGCACGGAGCATTCTAATTGTTTATGTAATTTTTGAAAGTTTTATCATATACTTGACTTTTTATTTGTTGATGTTTTGTATGTGTGTGTTAAAAGTAAACATAATTGTACAGTTATGTACTTATCATTAATTATTAAATACATTCACATATTCTGTTTAGTGCATTAAAAGAATTTAGAAACATAGTCACTACATTAACAACAGAAAATATTTCTCAGTACTGTATGTAGTACCTAATCTGTAAAAATAATTATCATCTCACTCGTAATCTTGCAGCTTCAAAGCATGTTACGTGAGTTGAAATCTGAAATTCACTTTTACTTAAATTAATATCAGATTTTGTATAAAATGTAAGTTGCTTTTTCACTAATAATACAGAACACAAAAAATGCTCTGTATTTAATCAAAACTGAACACTTGTCTGTGACCAGACATTTTTACTTATGCATAGTCATTGGTACTGTAATGTTTTGCCAGTGCAATGATATATTACAGTATTTTGTCCAACGATACATGGGCCTATCAGTACAAGCTACCCCTAGAGGATGTGCATACTCATCTACTAACATGACCAATGTGCTCAGTCCCTGACCATGATCACTTGCTGCACAATACTGATAAATGTGATTACATCAAAACAATGGTCATTGAAGTGTGGCCCCAAGCAGTGTTCAACTCTGTATTAAAATGTCATCAGATTTATGTTAAAAACTAGAACAATTGGTATGCACTTAATGTACTTGCAGTTTTAACATCAAGTTTGCTGACTTCTAATGTGCTTGTCAAATGTAATAAACTGATTACTATGTTTAAATCACCAGATAATGTGGTACATGTATCACGATACATATTATTGCAGTTCTAATAGTAATGTTTACCTGTCATATATAAATATGGCTATTAAGGTCATCATATCTTATCAAAATTAGGATAATATAAATTTTCCAATCTGCAGGAGATTAAGCCAATATACCTGACTATCAGCTTTGAGCATGGACTCAGCTGTTATTGGTATCATGATTTGCACATTACTTGATTAAAAGAATATGAAAGAGCTTAATTAAAAGCTTTATTTTCTATTTGCTCTATATTTTTAGGGTCAAATGTTTCACATACTGTTACCAGTTTCAGAAAAACTAATAGAACTTGAAAAGGAAATTTATTACAATTGAATTGCTTACTAACATGTATTATATAGTCAAAATACAAGTGAATTGAATTATTTTGAAATAATATTCAAAACAAGAACTGCTAATTAATATTATTTTTGTATTCTTTTGTATAACAAAAACTATTAAGTCTAAACTTGAGTGAATATTTGAATTTTCAAATTGTAAGTAAAATAGTTATTTTGAATTATTATATTTCCTTTAGTATAACACCTACAGACATTCAAGGTAGTGCTGAAATGCTTCTAAAAAATCTCTTCAGTGTTATAGACATGCCTGGCTCAGAAGAAAATGAATATGTTATGAAAGGTAAGTGTTTCCAAAATTGTTTGTTTTTTAATAAACTGGATTTATATTTATTTATTTCAGTTAAATGTTTGGTATTTATTAAACCATTTTAACTTCAATTATTTTTAATGCAGGTGCATTTGATTAGAAATGTTCCCCATTACAAATTTCTTGTCATGTTGAAAAGCAGAAAGAAAAACAACAAAAAATGTGCAAAAGTAAAATGACACATAAACACAACTACATTGTTTAAAACAAAGTAATTTCATATAATATGAGGTTTTACTAAGCCATAAGTCCCCCAGTAGGACAGCAGTAAGTTTAAGCACTAGCAACACTAAAATCTGGGGTTAGATTCCCCAAGGGGGACACAGAAGATAGCCCAATGTGGCTTTGCTCTAAAACAAACGAAACTAAGCCAAAAATATTAATATTAAATACTGTTGTTTATTTATTTTAAATATTGCATTTCACAGTTTAACCCTTTGGATCATGACACGTCACTCTTGAAAATAGTTAGAACACTATGTTTAAAAATTATGTTGAATCAAGTTTTCAGTTGAACATTGTATAATAATGCAAACTGCTTCTTTAAGCATTTGAAATGAGTATTTGATTGATATCATCTATGAAACACAGCAGTACCTCTTTGTCTGTAAATATAAATGTCCTCTCTGCTTGAAAAACTACGTTGGGTCCACTACCACATGTCTCCAGCAAAGGATTGTAGAATCATACGTCTTCTTTAACATGTTAGTTAGATTGTAATTATTGAGACTTGGGATTAATTGGTTTGAAATATTGTGCTATATCTAATGCAGAACAAGTTGAAGGTTAAATCTAACTTTCCTTTTAGGTTATTTAATAAGCACAGAAATGTACTATAACTTCCTAATTATGTATCAAAAACAAAACTATTAGGTGTCTTTTTTTATGAGCTTGACCTTTATAAAACTGGAAGCTGCTTGATTAAGTGTACCTTATGGTATAAACTTTACGACAGTTTTTCAACTTTTTGTGGTTATGTGGTAGGTAAAATAAATTATTGAAAATTGGTAAACAGATAAAGCATAATTGAGCTGTACCTATTAACCCTTTCAAGATGGGTCACGGGTGAAAGGCCATGTCATCTCGTTTGTTGACTCGCATTCAAAATTTTATTAAACTAATATTTCATGAATTTATGTCAATAACTTTGGTATTAAACTGTAGATTATAATTCAAATTTTAGTACTATATATTGCTCAATTTCTTAATTTAAAAGCAAATATTAAAAACAAATAAACATCAATTTGTGTGTGTGTGTCACATGGTATGTTGAATGCAGCACTGGTTTAGATTGGATGTTTGTGAAGTCAAAATACTAAGTCTTTAGTTTCGAATGAATTAGAAATTCAACTTACCGATATTTACAAGCTGGAATATAAAATAAGATCCTCTTATCTTTTCAGTTTGCTAAGATATTGCTCATGTAATAAATCAAACACAGTGACACCTTGCTCACCTCTTTCTATTTTTGGTAATGCTCCCTTATATACACTTACTTCTATATATGACACGAATAACCAATCGGAAGCGCAGAATGTCCCCTTAGTGGCTTTTTCAGGTAGCGTCTCTTTAGTCTGCTCGAAATTTCACATTTTTTTAGACTAAAATACATCTTAGTTACTAAGCTTAATAAATTATAATGGAATTCTATGGTATTAATGTAGTAATTTATGATTTTTAGTTATTCAAATGTGTATATAGAACCTAAAAAATATTTTGTTTC